TGGGGATAATGGATTTTCAAATAGGAAAACATCTTATTAGAATTACTCAATACATGATTACTGCAGCTAGACTTCTTTATGCACAATTTTGGAAAATCTTTTAGTATTTTAAATAACTCAGCTGGAATACTGTCATCTCCGCTAGCTTTGTTGTTAGTAATGCTTCCTAGGGCCCACTTGACTTCGCTCTCTAGGATGTCCGGCTCAAGGTCAGTGATCAAGCATGGACCTCAAGATCTTTCTTGTATAGTTCTTCTATGTATTCTTGCCACCTCTTCTTAATCTCTTCTGCTTCTGTTAGGTCCCTGCCTTTTTTGTCCTTTATCATGTTCATCTTTGCACTAAATGTTCCTTTGATATATTTTAACCATGATCAAATAAGCCAATTTTGTATTTTTTCTTCTTTCTCCCAACAGTCTTTAAAATCCATAAAGTTCTAACATCTGCTTTCTCATACTTTCTTTATTTCTTCTCTCAAAGTTCTTGTCATCTTTGTCAAGATCCCTTTTTAATTCCAGTGTAGCAACTTCAGTAAATCCCTTTTGTAAAACCAATATAGGGGAATAATCCACATTGCTCTTTTGATTTATTGTTTGTATATCTTTTTAAATTTTGAAACCATCCTCCAACTCCATTTGTAAATCTATTATTTTCATCTCTTTCTTGTAGGCTATACTTTTTAAATCCACTTCTAAGTCCATTTCATTTTTATTCAGTGGGATTTGTTTCTCTTCAATAACACCTTCTGATTCCACTATAGAGTTAAATACAGGTAGTCCCCAGTTTAAGAATGAGTTCTGTTCCCAAAGGTCTGTCCTTAAATCGAATTTGTGTGTAAGCCGGAACAGTATTATTTTATAATACTGTATAAGTAGTTTGTGTAATTAATTTGAACCATTGTGTATTTAACTCAACTTTTGCTACAATAGGCTCCGTTCTTAACTATGGGTCATCCTTAAACCAGGGGACTACTGGTTCTTAACCTGGGGACTACTTGTAGCTGGAAAACTTCTTGGACCCAGATGTCAAACATTTCTTTTAAGGTAGCCATCTGGTGCCCTCTAGTGTCCAACCTTCAAAGACATCTTATCAGCTCAAAATATAAATAAAAGGAATTTTCTCTGAGAAAGGATCCTTTTAATTCTTTAATTCAAATCCATCTGAACCCTTAATCCATTTAAAACTGTTTAAGATCAACACTGTAACCTGCCTTTTGCTGTATAATACAAAAGGAAAATGCTTATAAAATTTTAAACATGTAATTTTATTTCTAAACGAATTGAAGAACTCACCCAACGAATACAACCAGACCTGTAGTTCTGAAGGTTTTCAATCTCTAACAAATGGGGAGGGGGGAACCCTCCAAAGTGATTAAAAAGATGAGGTTTGGTTGAACTTTGTGTCCATAAAAGGCTATGTTAACAGCTCTGAGCTCGATGGAATCCCGCAACTCCCAGGTGATTCCAAGAGACTGCAAAAACATCAGTTTCTGCTGAGTGCTCACGAAAAAAAACAGCTGTCTGGAGTACATATGGTGATTTCAAGATCTCTCCTTAGTCCAGAGAGAATTTTGGGCAGTCTGGATCCAGCATCCAACTGTCTTTTTGACCGTAATGCCTCCTGCTAATCCACAGAATGTCAGTTCACCATTCCTCAACGGGAGCTTCTCTATAATGTCCATGATTTTTGAGGGATGATTATTTCCTAATCTTAGATTTTCCATATTTATGTACTTTTGAAAAAGAACCACACCAATTACAATTTATATAGCAATAAAAAGTTCCCAGTATAATTCAGGTTTTTATTTTTCATTTCATTCCCCACTTTTTCATAATCACATTCTAATGGAAGTTTTTACACTTGAAACAAATTCATTAGAAAATAAACACTGTGTTACTTGACCGAAGGCTTGTTAACCAAAATGTTTCCTTCCCAGCTACTAACTAAATTACTTAACAGAAAGCAATGCATGTACAATAAACTTCACAGGTGATACAATAACACATCGTTTTTCCTATAACTGATTTTATAAGGAGGGTAATTGGTTAGGTTGCTTGTGCCAAAGGCTTCTTTGAAGGTATGTTATGTCCTATATCCTTAGTCTCATTTAGAATGAAGTTCATAAATGTTTAAGAACTTAGGAGTACTTATTACACTTTTTACTATATAGTGTACCTTTATTGTGAAAAATTGAATAGTTTTGTTGCATTTTGAAAAGATAAACCTACTTAATCAGTTATTTAGTAGTAACAGTCATTGACATACAGTTTGCAGTTGTGAAACAATTGCACATAGAGAAGACCGTAAATAGTTCAGTTGTCATGGTGCTAACATTTTCCCCTCTCTGTTTATCTGCAGGAAGGAAAAGGGAATGGTTTAAGATAGATGATGCCATAAAAGTTCTGCAGTATCACAAACCTGTACAGGCTTCATACTTTGAAACCTTAAGGCAAGGCTATTTGGCTAATAACGGCACTCCTGTTGTGACCACATCATTCTCAAAGGAGAGCACACTATCTGACATCAGATGACTGAAGATAAATCTATAAGAGAAGTTTGAAAAATAGACTGAAACTTGGATTTCCTTTCTTCCCCTCTTCTTGCCGCTTTCACATGTGTCCTTTGGTAAACAAGACATGTGCAGCAGCCTTTGGCAGAGCAGATGTTTGAGTGTTGCATTTTAGTGCAAAGTGGGTGGTTTGGGGTTTTTTGTTTTTTGCTTTTTCTTGGATATGTATTTTGTAATACACATTTTGTGCATGAAGTGCCCCTTCCCTATTAACAAAATTTTGACAATGTGAACAGCAAGGCTATTAGTTACATCTATGCCTTGCCTTCTAAAATGTTCTTGTATATATTGTTCCAGCCATAGCCAAATCTCTTATCTTTTCAGTAAAGAAAGCTACAAATGTGAGATCAATTCTTTATGTCTTAGATTTTGTACAGTAAGGTACTGTGGAGGTCTGTGTGGTGGCCACTTGCTCCACATCTGCATGTAACATTTTTTAGAGGGAGAAATTTAACACTGATTTTGCAAGATTTTTTTTTTAAAAAAAAAAACACAAGCTGCTTCTATAAAAGAGGGCTTCATAATCTTGTTTGCCTTGTTCTTTAAAGAAATTTCTTTATGACAGTGCTAGTGGCTGGGCCAGTTTCATTCCCTGCATCCTATTCCCTGACCCAAATTTAATACAATGAGACTTGAAGGAGACTTGCAAAGCATCCCTGGTGCTCAATTCTTTCTACAGTTTCAACCAGTATGTCATGTAACAACGAAGCACAAAGAATTGGTCACCATTCAAAAGCATATAGCCTCAGAAGTTTAATGAATTCCAACTTCAGTAAATAGGAATCAGGGATTCAAAATGAGTTTTAAAATGTGAACTGGAACATCAAGCACTAATGCTTTTTAATAGTGTGAAATGATTTCTCTTCCTGTTGCATACTGCTGGTGTCTTTTTTTTTGTCCATATGCCTTACATCTTACTGAACTGGATATTGTAATTTGTGCTAAAGCATTGGATTGTACTTTGAGTGTCACCTCATGGTGGGACAGTCACTTTATGTCCCTGAAAAGAATTCCCAGGGAAAAATTTCAAGTGTCCAGTCTCCTTTGTCTGTAATATTGTATCACGGAGCACACTCAAAATTGTAGAATTAATTTCTTAAGCAGCAAAGGTACAGCTAGTTCCCAAGTAGAATTGTTTGTATGGAGATCTGTGTCATTTAATAGGATAGTTAACCTGATGCATTGGCACACATCACATTTTTGTTTCTGTTGATGTTTCATACTGTCTTGATTTGCCAACAGTGTTGTCTAGTTTTTGGAAAAGGCTGTGGGAGGGGGTGGGGGGGCATTTGGGTAGATTTGGGGAGGGGCATTAGTTCATCCCTGGCTTGAGACAGGACCTAGTTGCTATATTTGGTGACTACTTCTTTGTCACAGTATAGCCAAGATGTGAAATTAAACCTGCAGTACTCCAATTTAGTAGATAATTCCCTTTTCCCCTTAAATGCTTAAAAATGTAAAAAATACCCTGAAATAGTCATACAGCCTGATGAAAAGTAAATTAGTATACTTTCTTCAATGGACAGTTGCTGAGTACCAATAATATTTCTTATTTCTTAATTCCCTACTTTCTGTTAATAGGATAGCATTCCTTAATATGGGATCACTGAAGCCAAAAGCAATACACAGAAAGTGCTGAAAGGCGCTGTTGAAAAAAAGTGGCTTAAACTTGATCTAGAACAAATGAAAAATTATGTGATGCCACTTCACTCCATCTTAACAAATAATAAAATTTAGCTGAATGAGCTTGACTAATGTTTTGAAGCATACAATAATAATTTATTTTACTAAGGATATGTGTGACACTTTCCAGGATAGCAAACTGTTGCCTTTATCTAAAGGTTTTGTGTCCCATTGAACTGATTAGGACACAAACAACTGTTTGAAAGAGAACTGAGACTCCTGACGGAGTGACTGCAGTTTTAATATCTATAGCATGCACACTTTTTTAAAACTCTAAAATGTTTTTATAGGGCTGTTAAACTGACACTTTAGGATAGAATATTGTTAATGATATTCTAATAGTGATTTCTTGTTTGTTTGGGTCAGGAAAAATAAATTGTGCCAAGAAAGTAGTTTAATGTGGGATGAATTGATGCTGTTTATACAACTGCACTGAGTTGCTGACGTTTGCCTTGTGAACTGGAAATGGAAGATGCGTCTCCTGGGGTATAAACTGTCTGGATTATTGGTAAACTTCCTCCTGTTTACTAAAGGTCACTATTTCACCTCCTTTTAATGCACTATATCCATGGCTTTCCTAGTATCTCAGGGTACTTTGTAATAAATGAGCCAAGAAACTAGTAATACAATGAAAATGCATCATATCAACTCACTTTTTCACAACATTTCTGATTACACTGGAACTTCCTGCATTGCCAGAATATGCATCAAATGTGCTATAAGAGAAGAGAATTTTCATTCTAAGTAGGCAAGCTGGTCACCATATTGGATTTTAAACATCTTAAACTTTCAGATAATTTTGGGCTTTATGCTGGACTTGCCCATTAAAATGTAGATTGTTTTGGTCTTTACTTATAAAACTCTTAACTTTACATACTGAAATCAAAAATGCTGGCAGTGACAGTAAAAATCATGTGATAAGCCATTCTTTCCCTATAAAAAGGTTTAGTAATTATGTCTGGCCATCAGACATTCTGGAGATTAGATACTTCCCCCCAAAAAGGTGGACTTAGCTGCATATTTTATTTTTATTTGTAAATTCATGGTCCTTCACAGTTTCAGAAGAGGTTCAATATTTGCAATACTTTATTGAACTTGCACACTTCTTGATTTAGACAAATGCTAGAACAGTATAACAGTATTCTGGATCTGTAGTTATATACTGACCAATAACTTGTTACAAGTTCAAATGTGGTACCAGTACTCTCATTTAGATGAACTCTAGATGGGCTTTTGTATTATGCATACTACACACCAGCCCTTCTTAATAGGGTGGTGCAGTGGTCCAGACATCATTTGGAAAAGGAGCTTTGCAGCATCTGCTTGCAATTTTTTAAAGCAGCTGCATCTTTTCCTGGGATCACATGGCTGTCCTCTACAGCTGCCACAGGATCCTGGGAAAAGACATGGCAACTTTAAAGAGTTGCAGACAGCTGCTATGTTCCTGCCCTTGTGTGCTCTGAAGCATTTTTTAAAGAATCAAATCCAAAGCATTGTGCAGCCCTACTTGCTAATTCAGGGTTGACAGTGCTACTTAAAATTGTTTTGGGCAGTGAATTTGCACATAACCTCCAGCTAAACTTTGTTAATCTGAAACAGCACGGTGAATGAAAATGCACAACTTCTGTTACATTTTCCAGTATGGATTTTCTTTATTAGGAAAACAAACCAGGTTCAGGCTCTCTGCAGTCATATCTAACATCCCATGCATAAAATACAGTCGTAATTTTCTAATAACATCCCTTCCCTGTTTCGATGTTGTAGATTAGAAAGTGTGTGGGATACAGCAATTAGAATATGCAAGAGTATTTTGATATGTATACTACTATTTTTGGTTTAACCTTGAATCAGTTCCCATTAGAGTGTCTGAAAATGGAGTGGTGGATCAACTTTGAAGAGTTTAGCCTAAAAGTGTTGCAATGATTTTAATAGCAGTTTAACTTTTCTTCCACTCAAAATATATTTGTTAACCATAGTTTTATTATCTTGTTCCTCACTCTCCAGCCGCCTCCTTTTTTTCAACAAGCTTATTTTGTTTATTTCTTTTAAATCTGCCAATAAAAAATAAAGTGCCATATTATCTTAATGTGCAAATAGATATGTTAGCTATCTAGTCTGCATATGTAAAATTGTTCAATTTATTTTGGAGGCAATTGAATTTAGTTTACACGATTCCCATAAATACCAATTTATGGAGAAATTTTCTTTTTCTCCACCCCTCTATATTTTTCTGATGTGATAGGCAGCAACAGTATGCTGTGAAATAGATAAATGGATGGATCTCTCTTCTTCCCTGTTCAGGTTTGTAGTAGATTCTTAGACACGTAGTTCAGAGGATGAGGAAGGAGACCTTCCATGTCTTCCTTCTTTCTGTAGCTTGCTACCTCCAAGTATTCACCATAAGTATTGAAGAAAAGTATTCTGAGGTATGTCTGAGGTAATAAATTAGAAGAATGTTGAGGAAGTGTTTAGAGAGAAAATTGGACTTAAAATCCAAGCCAGAGAAGAATTTGGGGAGTATCATTCTTACAACTGAAATTAACATTTTGAACCTGTTGAAGTTCATACTTCTAAGGCTAGAAATACAAGCCCAGCAACTACATGCAATTGCTCGTAAGCAGTGAAATTCAAATTAGAGCATGTGTTAGTGAAAATTCTGGGAGTGTTTATGTGGTGGTGATTCTTGATTTGCTTGTTTTCAAATGTTAAAAATATAATTGCTCCTGAATAGAGATAATATCAAACATTGTGCGTATTTCTTAATGCTTGCTTGGTTTTGTTTGTCATTATAGCTATCTCCAGGTAGTGGGTATTGTTTTGGAAGGGGTGGGGAAGTGAGAGTCAGTAGTGCTGTGCGGCTATTTTGCACTGGAGGGGTATGTATGTATACTTCAATCCCTGTAATAAAGAAGCTGCTTTTGAGTACATTTTGCCACCTCTTGTGACAACAGATTTTATTAGAAACTATATATTTTCAATGTGATTGCTTAGCATGAATGCTGAGTTCTTGTAAAATGATGACATTTAGTATTTCATATGAACATTTGGAAAGTATGCTGATGGTTATTTGAAATCTTCTCTAACTTCACAGTCTCTTAGGAAAGCAGTTAGCCTCTTTGGTGGTGGGTATGGTTTGTTTTGAAGTATTAGAGATGACTTATAAACATTATTATCAAAACAGTTCCTCCATATCAAAATTCTGGAGACATGTGATTTTACTTATTGTTTATCCATGTCTGAATGTAGATAATACAAGGGTTGCTTTTCAAATCTGTAAGCAGTCACTTTGAGTTAGTTCTGTATTTCTGAAAATGCCTGGAGTTGATGAAAAAAGATTGATTTCACAATCTCTTAAATTTCATTTACTCTCTTGAATTGTCTCCTGTTTTCAATAAGATATACAATGGCAACTATGGAAATTGGCCCCAAGATGACCCCCCCCCCCATTTCAATGTAGACATTCCTAATGATACAATATCAAGCAGATGTGTTTGAAGGACAATTATTTAAAATTGTTTAAAAATACTGGATTGCATATTCCAGTGGTGTGGCTCAGTATAATACAATCTTATATGTTTACCTCAGAATTTCAAAAATATAGTTACTGTTATCAGCATAGTTGTCTCTGATGTCTGCTCATGCTGAAAATATCAGGTATTTCACCTGTATGCTTGAATGCATATGCTTCCTTTTAAATTGCTGTTATCTATGTATTCATCTCCTTTCTTCTCTCCTTCCTCAATTTCATGAAAAGGAAATATGAATGGAGGCATCTTTATAAATATATTCAATTGAAATTATTTCAGATAATGCAACCAGTGCAGGATTTACAATGGATACTAGACTGATCTTACTTGGACATTTTATCCTAGAACCTTGGCACATTTTATTGGCTACTGTTAGACCTGAGTGCAATACTAAATTGAATTTCCAAGGTTTGCACTGCTGCAAAGAACAGCATTGCTTGCAATGTGTTTCTTGTATTCCTAAATGATAGACCATGGATTTTATTACTACTATCAGTACCCTGATGGAAAAATATTCAAAACTGAGTGTAGCAAACATCTGAACTCATAGGGTAGAAAACTAGAGATCTCCGACATTGTCTCCTGGAAGCAGTCTGGTTCTTCCCTGTTTCCTTATCTGGGGTGTGCTTTGCCTGGCATCTTTCCCCTAAGTCTCTTATGTAAAAGGGGCAAGGCACTCAAACTTGTGTTGCGTTGCTGGTGATTAAAATTCAAAGGTTGAAATAAGTTCTATAATGCTACTTCCTGGCCATATGATACAGAGGTATATGGCTAGAGGATTCCACCCATCCTCCCCTCCTTGGGAAGTAGATGAATCTTACAAGAAATAAACAAATACCAACTATAAAAGAAGAGAGAAAATGTAAAATTCCATTTTGCTTTAAAGATAAAAATCCACACATACAATTTTATAAAATATATATTACATAGTTGTTAATTTGGGTGAAAAAACAGCTTGTACAGCTAAATGAAAAATCCCTAAAGAAAATGCAGCTGCTCTGGGTAGAAGGTGCTGGTCTGCTATAAATGAAGCAAGTACTCTTTGACCAGAATGTTACAGATAACAAGGTGAAAGTACAGAATAGACATTCTAAGAATAGTCTAGAGGAAAATAAGACTTAACTTTTGGGGCATAAATGCTTCGGTATGCATAAATTCTGGAGTTATACACAATTTCTTGTACAGAAAAATAAAGACTATTTAGACTTTGGCACAATACAGAAACATAAATAAAAGACCTAGCACAAATTCCTGGCTAAAGCATATCAATTTCTATAAAAATAGAAACCTCTTGAAGCAAAGCTTATCTGTTTCCTTTTATCTGGGCTTCCCCTTTTCCTGGGATTCCACATTTGACTTAGAAGGTATGGGGAGATGATAAACCCCACTGTGTCCTAGCCTTGGTCCAGTGACTTCCTGAGTTCTTCCCCCAGTTTTTAAAATTACCAAAGCATTTTCTGTCTTCAGCAAAGGGAGGAGCATGATTATCTCTTCCAATGAAGCAGATACATGGTATGTGTATTAACAGTCTGGCCTGAGGGCCTGCTGTCCTTATGGGAATCTGTGTTGTGAATGTTGGAGCCTGTTTGGCTGGCAGGGATGGCTGGCAGGCACAACACCGAGATGAGACTCAGTGTTGTGGTTACCTCCAGAGAGGGATGTCTTTTTCAGTAGGCTTAGTTGTGTGTGTCACTGTACCCTGTATTTGATGTGACAATATTGGACCTGTTAGCCGTATAAGGTATACCAGACTAAGAATCAGACACTGCAGACCTAAAGCTACCTTTATTAGAACAGCTATAGTAGCAGTATCTTGCAAGTCTGTGCTTCCCTTCCTCCCTCTTTTATCTTCATGTGAATTAAAGGTGGTGGTGGTAGGTTGTTTGAGGCATTTTCATAAACGGCTTTCTTGGCTTTAAGTCTCATTTCTCTGATTGTTGCCTTGGCAACAGATCTTCCCTCTGTCCTCCAACGCCATCCCCTATACTGACTACAGGAACTAACTCTAAAGAAGCTATTTTACACACACACATGCGCGCGCACACACACATTATCTACAGTGGGGCAAAAAAGCATTTAGTCAGCCACCAATTGTGCAAGTTCTC